TCTTTCCAACAATTTTCACAAGAAAATAAAACAGTTAAAAGCAGGGCTTGTGTTGACCGGACAGTTCCCGTATTTGACCGTTAATTTTGACGGAGAAAGAATAGAAAGAATTACCCCGACGCATGCAGACGAACTGACATTTTATTCGTTACGCACATCGCAGATGTAGCTAAATCACATAAGAAAAGATTCCCATCTGAACATCTGAGCTGCTCAGCGCAGCTCGCTGTCAGCGCATACAGTATGTGCACAGCGAGCTGAAGTTGTGGAGATTGGCTTGGAGCGCGTCGCAGAACCAGAGCGCATGCGGGAAGATTCGTCCGACTGAAGCGAGTGTTTTCCAAACCTGGTCTCTCAGAGAGACTTGTCACTTAGAAAATGTTCCCTGATTATGAAACTTTGGTTGAATAGTGCTTGTTCCTGTCTCCAATGTGGCGACACATCCAGGAGCCTGTCTGAGGAGAAGCCCAGAATCTGACATCCTCCAGCTCAGGAAGCGCCTATGATTACGCACAAGCGTGACGCGTCAACCCGGTCTCACAGTAAGACCGGGTTGGACCTGTTCAGGTTTACGCAGACAATCTTTACATAGAATTGGCTTACAGATATAAAATTAATTCAGTAAAATATAAAGCATTTTATTAAATATCCATTAATTATTTTACAAGCACAGAGAGCCTTATCAGATGGATGGAAGAGCCGCGGGTTGTGACATGTTTTCTCCAGGACCAGAGAGAACGCAAACTCAATACATCTCTTTTATTGTGAGGTAATAATTTCTCCGAGTTTTGCAGTTGCGGGCGGGAGTAGACATGCACGCTGCAGGTGCGGGCGGGAGTAGACATGCACGCTACGGGTGCGGGCGGGAGTGTAACACACACGTTGCGGTTGCAGGCGGTAATGGTCAGAAATTCAGCAGGAGCGGGTAGGAGCTGGATGAAGAAAACAGTCCCGCGCAGGGCTCTACTGCTGCGTTTGTGTTTCAATTTTTTTTTATGAATTCGATTAAAAATAAAGGCGCCCAGCCCGGCCCGTGTCCGAGGTAATTACACAGTCGTTGGCCCGAAGCCCGGCCCAAGGGCCGTCGGGCCGGGCCGACCCGAGGGCCTAGGGCTTCAGTGCAGGGCTCTATTTGTCATGGCGAACGGGAGTGGCCCTTACAGTGCGCTGATGGCGCATCACTTTCTCCCTGGACAAATAAACTTATATAAAGCTGTAATTAAACTAGTGGTTGCATGTCACAATATTGTGACTATGGCTCCTAAAGAGATTTGACAAAACAAATTTGAAAAGCCCCAACTTCAGTTTGAGCTAGCTAGCTAGCATAACATTGGTGTGTACTCACCTTTGTAATTGTGCACATACTGGGAAATATAAAATTCGAACCCCTTTTCCCGTTTACTTTGTGGAGCAGATGAAAAGTCATTTACAATGCGATGAACATCGTCCACTGAAATTCTCGGTAAATTTCCAAGGCATCTTGAGAAGTACAGTTCGCTGCAGGCTCCAACCAATTTGATGGCGCTGTGGCGACAACCGGAACTGCAGGTACAAGCCAAGGTTTATAAACCGGAAGTAGCAATTGCTAACGTGCACAGGGTCTATTTATTGGGGCCAGTGGGGGAGCTGGCTCCCTGGAGGGCTTAGGCCAACCAGCCATTTCTCCCCATCCCTATACATTTTTCTCCTCCTGCTCCATCACATCATCACACAATCGTGCACATAGGACCTTGGGGGGAGGGCAAGTCAGGGGTGCGGGTATGGATCCCATTTCTGCATTCCTGTGGCAGCCTGCCCCCCAATTTTATTTGCACATTAAACACTTCCACCAATGACATTCCACGCAAACACACGCTTAGGGCTTTTGGAGTCAGCACACTCAACGGCATTTGGCAATGGGGTCTTTCAGCCTCATCCCGAGAGCTGGTGCCAACTTCCAATTTTAAACTGCACTTAGACACAGAGGGCTGTATATGTCAGGTGGGTCTTGGACTCCTCCCCTTTCCTGGGACTTCTTGTGCTACTACACATCTTTGCCTACCCTCCCCCTGCCACATTTGGTGTGGAGTGTGGTGCCTTGGTCTGCCTGAGTGTTCGCTGCTCCTAGGTCAGGGGGGTTAAGATTTTTGGCGTCTGCCTGATCGATCCCGGTGGCTGCCTGGTGGGATCTGAGTCCCTGGGCTCTATTGGGTCCCCGGCGGGCCTGGTCGCCCCTGGGTCCCGGGTCGCTGGGTTCTGAACTTGGCCGGCTAGGGGGTGGGAGGCTGCGGGCGCCGGGTGGGTCTGTGGGCTTGCCGCTGATATCTCCCGGGACTCTGCCGGCTGCTGGTTGTGGCCCCCCGGGGCGATCCTCTGTGCCTCTCGAGAGGGGGTTGGGGCTTTTCTGGTTACAGTCTCCCTGGGGTCCCTGCATTCTGGGGCATCTCCTGGATCTCTGGGACTCGGAGCTCCTTCCACCTTCTATACATCTTTGGGGGGCAGATCTGTGGCCCCTCACACTCTATTGGATGCTCTTATAGAGAAACCCTACATATACAAGTGCATGTACACACACAAGTATGGATTTGGGCACGTTCAACACATGTCTTAAGGCTGTGGTTGGCACAAAATGCACTGTGATTTATTATTGTGTGATTGTTCAGTAAAACAATGTTGATTTTATATTTCCTCATCAGGTTGATGCAGTGATAGCTTGGTCTGGTTGTATTGCTGTGTGTCCCCTTCTTTTTTTGTTTGCTTGTTTGTTTGTCTTGCTCTTTCTGCAGGTCTAGAAGCAGACTCTTGTTCATCATTGATGGGTTTTTTGTGGACCCCCCCCCAGCTTTGATACTCCGTCTGAGAGTAAATCTGTAAGGCTTGTCACCAACATTCAGACAGTAATTTTGTTTGCTTCACAGACAGACAGGACACGGGAAAAAATAATAAATAAAATTTAATTAAAAAAAAAAAAATCAGTAAATAAAAGAAATTGAAGCTTTTTTAGAGCTTTAGATGCAAAAATTATTAGATCCAATGCTCTCTGCAAGGAAGTCAAAATTTACAGAAATATTTTACACATATTATATAGTTTCTGCAAAACAATCATCATGGGAGGCAAGAATCACACATTTTTATGAAATACCATTTATATACAAGTGTTTGGTAAAAAAAAGAACAGAGTGAAACAAAAAATAAACAAGACTTTTTTTTCAAATCTATGAAAAGGTCATTTAAAGATCATTTAAGCAGCAAAATTATAAATCAGTTTTTTAGAAAAAGAATATCTGGAATAAGAAAACAAATACCTTTCATTATAACAATGTTGCAAAAAAAGCTAAAAAATATTTGTTATTGTCTTTTTTGATCCACTTGTGCATCTAAGGGTTGCAGAAGTGACCTCACAGCTCTTTTAAAAGCAACACCATTTGAATGTATCTGTTTAAAATTGGGACTATTCATTCTTCTGTGTCTGCATGAAGATGTGGCACTGCAGCCGTTTCTTAATTTTTGGGTTTTCTACATCAATTTTCAAAAATAGGTACCAAATCTGCATTGATAAAATGCCCTCAACCACCTCCTCATGTTCCTGCAGCTCACATCAAAAGTGCAGCTGTGAGCTCAGTCAGCATCAGTCTCACTCCCAAACAGACCTAAAGTTCTGAGAGGAAGTTTCAAACTTTATAATTAGAGTCAGGCAAGTTATCTGAATCACTCAAAGGATAATAAGGTTGTCCAAAATCAAACGAGGTCAGAGTGATGCAGCAGGATCTGGCTGATAAGACGGGTTCGCAGGTAGATGTTTGAAAACACGATTGGCTGACGTTTCTGGGAATTTTCCATTAACTTTTAGCACCTTTTAGATCGTAGAGGGCAACAAATTCTTCTGACTGGAGCTTAACTACTTCAAAGTTCAAACTGACACAGAGTCTAATTATCTTAAAAGGGGGACAAAAATCTCCACTTTTTTCCATTTTTGAAAAAACAAACAAACAATAGTTTAGAAAAAGACAGAACAAGTAAAAGCAGTAATTTCAGCATCGGTCAATAGCCTGCAGACGTAAATTATTTTAAAAAGGCAAATGTGTTATTCAGTGACTGAGTCATAGTTTAATGGAGATCCACCTGATGCATTGCATTTTTAGGGCCAGGAATGTTGTGTAAGTGAGCTGGCACTGAGACAGGCAAATGTGTTTTTGAACTCGTCATTTTATGAGTCATCCTGTAATTTGTTCCTGATCTTGTCTTTTCATCCTGTCCTCGGATAGCCTGGGAAATGTATTATTTGTTTATTCGTTTGTTTGTCCATTTATTTATTTAAACCTATGAATAAAAGGTACACATTTCTGTTTTTACATTTAAATCTTGTCACACCAACAACTAACTAAACAAATACATTTCAAAGCAAAAAAGAAAAAAAATCTAATTTGTCATTGACCAATGGGGAAGCAAAAGTTGCCCGGCAAGCACTGAAACATAGTCCCTCCAACGTGTCCTGGGTTGTCCAGGAGGCATCCTGGCCAGATGCTCGAGCCAACTCAACCTGCTCCTCTCGATGTGGAGGAGCAGCAGATCTGCTTCAAGCCCCACCCAGAAGACCAAGCTTCCCCCCTATCTCCAAGACATCTTGTGGAGAAAACTCATTTTGGCCACTTGCATTTGTGACCATAGGTGAGGGTGGGAACGTAGATTGACCAGTAAATTGAGTAAAGTCTTCCGGCTCAGCCCTCTCTTCACCACAACAAACCGGAACAACGCCCGCATCGCTACAGATGCTGCACTAATCTGCTTATCGTGTGCTCCATCTTTCCCTCGCTCATTAACAAGACCCCGAGATACTCAAAACCCTCCACTAGAGATAAAACCGTGTCCCTGACCTGAAGAAGGCATTTCACCCTTTTCCGACTGAAGACCGTGGTAAAAAATAAATAAATAAATAAATTGTATAAGTAAATTGTTACCTTTCATTAAAAATATTTCTGATTTGACAAAGTCCCCACACACAAGAAAAACAAAAGTCAAAATAACTAATACAAGTACTTTCTTTATTAATTTTTCTTTTCATATGTGCATCAAGCATATTTACCTTGCAATATGAGCTGCTACATCAGCCTGAAAAAAATAAAAAAAAGCAGCACTGCAACACTTTTTCAACTAAGCACAAAGTTACTGTTCAAGTTGATGCAAGTTCTATTAAACCTTGAGCAAATAAGCAAATAAGAGTCTGGGCCCAGGCAATTTTCATGACTTTTAACCCTTTGATGCATAATGGTCACTACAGTGGACAGGTACTCAAAATTGTTATTTATTTGTTTTTGCTACCCCCAGAGACCCACGGTTGTAATATTACAACATCAGATTTAAGTCTACAAAAATAAACCCTCCCCATTTTTTTTCTTTTTAAAACCACATTTACATTGCTAATAGGTCCTATTGTTCAGTTCTGCAACACTATTCGCTGTTAAAATGTGTAAATAGGCCCGTTTATCTGGCCTCCTAGAACAACATGTGAAAGGTTAAAAAAAGATTTTGCAGTTGTTTTCTAAATTTGGGTTTCTGGGGGTTAAGCACAGCTGTTGAAGACTTTATTGCATTTGAGCCCCTCCATTTGGACCTCAGTAAGCCAAGCCGCCATATTTCATGCTCAGAATGCACGCTGTCCACTGAAGTGGACATGTAATAAATTATTTGTAAATCATAAAATTTTACAAAAAATATTTATTGAAATTTGTTTCATTCACACCTAAAGACGAATTTAAAAAATTGTTTAAAAAAAATCATGGTTGAAGATTTCATAATTCATGCATCAAATGGTTAAAGTTAACATAACACAGCTGCTGAATGACAATCCATCACTTTTCTAGTATGATAAAAACAAAATTCTGCACCAAAGCAACCCACCTCAGTTTTGTCACAAGTCTAATGAAAGTGACCCCAGATAACAGTCGTGATTCTCTGTAAGCTTAGGACACAACATGATGATTTACACCCAAGTCACTTATTTAAATGAATGTCCCCTCTGAGTCAGACTACCAATTAGAAAACAATTCAAAGTTGTTCCAAACAAACATTGTTGATTTGGATTTATGCGTAAGAGAACAGAGATCCTTGAGTTCAGCTACATGGATATAAATGCTCAGTGTGTGTTATGTGTTTTTTAAGCATAGATGCTCAGCTTTGGCATTTCAGAAAAAAAACATATCAAAACATCTGCAGAAGCACTTATCAGAAGCTAAATGACTTCCTATTTGATCAATATATGTTTAAGAATCTAAAACTATGTGATTCACTGCAAAAAATCTGCTACAATGCTTTTGTTTAACAGTACTGCAGCTTGTAAGCACAACACCCCTCTATAAATCTAAAAATGGCAACAAACAAGGCCTTAATGAAAGCATGATTGCTACTGTGCTACAAAAAACAAGCAATTGTCACACTTACTGTGAGAGAAAACAACATAGAGAGGAAGCAAACTAAAACTGCAAATTCTCTTCATTTATACAAATACTGACATAAAACCATTAGTTCCAACTTTAACGGGGTGGTTTTGATATTAGGAATTGGATTTCTTTGAATAATACTGACCAACTTTAATGTCGTTCTAAACCTTTACACCACGGTGCGTTTTAGCTGCAGCTACTTACTGGAGCTCTGAAAACTGGAATTCCATAAAAATGTTTCCTGCAATAATCATGACAAACGTAATTTTAGCTAAACATGCTTTAAAACTGGCCAACATTGGAACTAGTTGTTAGCTTACCTGTTAAAGAGCTAAGTAGGTAAAAAAATTTTATTCATTCTTTCATTACTTCACTCGTTAAAGCTGGGGTATGTAGTTTAAAATTTTAAAGTAACTTAAAAAATGCTTACATTTGACTTTCTGACCCTGTTCTACGGTATAAAGTAGGTGATCTTTCATCATTTATATTTTCCCCAAGCCCCTCCCATGGCCTCTACAGCAAAACAAATAATTTACAAGATCCTAGTGCATAGACCAATAGAAATGTTTGTCCAAAAAAGGGAGCGGTCAATCAAAGAGAATGCACCCAGCGTGGACTGCAGGGTGATGTCGCAACAAGCCAGAAGTTTGCAATAGAGCAACCAAAACAAATATAAAAAGTTATTGATTCCTCGACTGCCTTCTGCTTCTCAAAGAAATTTTGAATATTTTAAAAGTCCAACTGAAAAATTTGCCATGAGGCATTTAAGACAGATGAGTAAAATATTTATTGGAGACAATTTTAAAAGATGGAGGAAGGTTTGTGATCTACATGGGCTCAAAACTCATGTAGGGTTGGCACATTTTCGTTTGGATAGGTAAATACTAAGTCATTTATTGTGTTTTAGAGAACTATAACCACATTTTTAGTACAAATGAACAAAATAAGGCATACAGTTGTTGTATAAAGCTTTTAATGTAATCTAATGTGGTGTTAGCTTGAATGCTAACTCAGCCTACAATGAATTAATGTCAGCACGTAAACTTCAAGCTAACTGTGGAAGAAGCGGGAGGGACATATACAGGGGTTTATCTTTTGTGTATTGGAGCTAAGTGATTAGCATTGCGTTCAACCTTTCGCTGTATCAAACTATTGTTTTACTGTTAACTCAGCTTTTCCTGCGATATGAGACATGGCATTAGGCTCCTTCCAGATGGGAAGGGGGAGCAGGGGTGAGAGCTATAGGGAGCTTAAGTCACTTCCGCATCATGGGTCCCCGGAAGATTGAAAAAATGAATGCAAGTCAACGGGGCTAAACACACTATTTTCGATTCCGCTTTGTCTTATGCACCAGATCGCATACATGTTGTACAGCAATTTAAATGAAAAGTAATGATGGATGTTTCGACCACGCCAGTGACGTACTTTGATATTAATTAGCTTGTAAACGTTTTTAATTAGCATGAATGCAAACTAGAAATCGGCACGTCGCATATGTGACGTCACCACATAATCTCCTCTCCCCTAACGTAGCTGCTGCTGCTTACCAAATGACCAGATTTATGGTGGTTCTTTCCTCCTGTGGGAAGTTTGATGAACTTACAGCCCTTTTCTATCAGTTTTCTCAGTGTCTGTTTCGATGATGTCACTTTCGAGAAGCACATTTAGAGTCCTGGGCTTATTTTCACACAACACCCAAAATATCGTTCCCGCCCATTCAAAAATAAGTGCGTTCTTGGTATCAAAATGCGTCTTTAAAATTCACGGACATCATATGTGAAATCCATGGCACAAAACAAGTGGAATTAAAAAATAGCATTTTTAGCCCCATTGACTTGCATTCATTTTTTCGTTCTTCCAGGGACCCATGATGTGGAAGTGACTTAGGCTCCCTATAGCCATTCAAATGCCAAAATCTCCCCCTCTCTACTTAAAGACTTCATGCCCAATGACTGTCGGCCGCATCACGCATCTCATCACTGCCGGAAAAAAAAATTGGTAGCTGAGAGTGGGGCTGTCATGGTAGGGGCAGGCGATTGACACCCAACAAACTCTGAGCCGATGTAGCCAAGCTAACTGAGCTAACCAAAGCTAATGGAGGTTGGCGGGCCTTTTATGGCAGAAAACCACAGTTGCGCAACTCTGCTACCCTCTGCCTTCTCGGCTCTCACACGTTTAAGTTGAGACTGAGGCCTTCCTTGGAACAAGCGGGGGGGGGGGGGGGGGGGGGGGGGAAGCCGATGGCGCTAATGGCTCATCTGCTACCTGTCAATCAAATAAACACATCCTCTAAGTATTCATAATTTCAAGCTCTAAACGGATGAGTTACAAAAAAAATAATTCATTCATTCTCCACATCCATGAGACAAGATGAAACAATTTCATAAATCCGTATTTTATGATTTTTAAATGAAAATAATGCTAATTTTATGCATTAACTCATTCACTGCCAATGACGACTAAAGTTGTTATTTGTATTTTTTTACTGTGTGGGCATCGGAACGAGCCCCCACACCGTGAGAACAAACATCTCAGCTCTAAAGCCGATCTTCATCCACGTACGTCACACGTCACGTGATCAGGAAGCAGAACATCCATGTGTTGGGAGATCGTTTTGAGCCGCTGCTGTAAAAAAGTGAGGCGCGAACCGGAAAAGCGTCTGCCGATCACAATTCAACAACGGATTATGAAGGAATGGATAAAGCTCGAAACACGCGGATTCTTCCTGATGTAAGAGGTGAGTCTCCGCTTTGTTTTGGTTGTTTTGGCGTCGACATCATGCTAGCGCGCAACGTTCTGTGACTCTTAAAAACACAGTAAAAACGGTGAGAGACGCTGGCAGTAAAGGGCTTTACCAATCGGGAAACGGCTTGCAGCGAATGAGTTAATGGTGATTGATAATGAAATGATAAGATTATAATATATTAACACAGATTGTAATTTGCTCCCCATCTAAGTTAGAATTTTTAATAAACATTCTGCTACTTATCAAACCTGGTAAAATGAGATTCCAGTAAAATCTATCAGTTCAGGAAGCACATGTCACTCAAAAACTAAATTTAACACATACTTCTGTAAGTTAGGGTTTGATATTTCAAAATAAAACCCTGAAGCGTCAACATGTGATCATGTCTCAGTTTGCCCAAAACTAAAACCTTTCCACCAACGTTCAGCTTTCACATTTTTTTCACAACAAACATTAACAGTCTGCAGGAAGTAGACTCTTATTAGTTTTTGAGTTGAACTAATTCAAAGAAATGCAATCTTAATGTGGCCCACTTTTATTTCAAGTCCTTCATTTTGATTGTACCAAGGATGAGACCCAGTAAATCTTTTTCTTAATGTTTTAAATTCTCACAGTCACAATTCCCACATGGTTTTATCTTCGGTTTCATCCCAAAACACAAAAAAACATTCAATCCCAAACCTTTCTTGTTATCCTCCAACAACTTCACTGTCCATTAGCTTAAATATTCAAGGTGAATAAAGGTCAGGGTTCCAAAGTAAGATGATAGAAGAATCTGTACAAGACCGTGGAGTATAAATCCCTATGAGTACACAGTTTAACCCTTTGTGTATGTTAGCTGTATAAGTAGGTCATGATGCACAGACAAGAGAACCCAATTTTATTACAACATTAATAAATTAAATGTTGAATTTAATTAACCAAGTTAAACCTAGTTGATTAGATGTAAAAAGTAATACAACAACATACAACTATGTATATTACCATTTACATTTAAGCGACTATGGAACCAGTTGACATAATTTCATGAAGTTAATTCAACATTTCCTTTCTTACAGTGTACTTTTTATTTTTTTTATATAATAAATGAATACAGTTGGGGAAAAAGACAAAATTATTTATTCTTAGAACACGAATAATCATAATGTATATGTTTAGCTTTTTAGTTTACTACCTTTTTAAAGCCTTTTAAAGAGATTCTGACATTTTACTGTATAAAATGTTTGAGTTAGACTTTTGCTTTTTAAATGAATAAGAAGTCTCTGTGATTGCCTCAGCATGGTCTTCTCTGTGATCTTCTCAGTGCTGCCTGTGGATCATGACCCTGATGATAAATGTACCTGTCACCAACTCCACCAGTGGCTTGTTCCTACTAATTATCTGGTTCCCTCCCAGCATGTTAAAACTTTTGTTAGGCGTCCGTCTTCATCTCAGACTCAGCAGTGAGTCATCTCTTCACCCACCTCCCCCTATCTTTCCTCTCCTTTTTTTGATCTCCTTAAACCTCTTTCCATCAGCCGCTCTGCTGCAAACCTCCTCCCACACATGCTCAAGGTACAGGATTTGTGTTTGTGTGCTGTGAGAGCTGTGACAGAGCCAATACACCCCACCCATCCCTGATTATAACTGCATCCCCTCCACCCCCCCAGGACTCTGCTCATGTAACCTAGCATGGCGAGGCACTCATTCGTGTGTGTGCGTGGTAGCGAGGAGGAGGCACAGCGGAGGGTGGTCCTGCCATTGGGAGGGAATGGGATGGGGGTCCGCTTGGATGGGGATGGGGCTGTGAGAGACCATGGACGTGAGCCAGTCTGGGTAAGGTGGAGGTGGCGCCTGGATGAAGGGGGTGAGGGTAGGAGGAGGAGGTGGAGGAGGAAGATGCTGGCTGGAGCTGGTAGCTGGCAGCTGATGAAGGCCCAGATGAAGAGGGTGTCGCTTGTGAGCTGCTGCCCCCCTTACAAGGCTGCTGAGGTGGGGGAGTCTGGTTGAGCTGGATAGAGATGTCAGACGAGACATCAGAGGCACTTCGGCCCCGCGGGGGTGGAGCCCAGGAGTCTGGGTGAAGAAACTGGCCGCTGTAGTCGCTGCAGTCGGACATGCGAGGGCGGTAGAGAGCAGGATGTGGGCGATAAAGCTCCTCCTCAGCGTAACGCTTCATGAAGAGGTAGACGGACATGACTCCTGCACTCTTGGATGGAAAGAGAAATTATGTTACACAATATTTGTATTTTTGTCTTGTGGAGGAGTTTTTTTTTTTTTTTTTTTTTTTTTTTTTTTTTTTTTTTTTTTTTTTAACGTGTCCTGTCTGGCTGTGAAGCAAGCAGAATTGATGTCTGAATGCTGGTAACAAGCCTTACAGTTTTACTCTCAGGTGGAGCATCAGAGCATCTGCTTTTAATGTCTCAGGTGGAGCATCAAAGAGTCTGCTTTTAATGTCGCACCTGATATTTAAAACTTTATTGTTATTGTTTTTGAATGCTTTGTAATTTCGACCAGACACGGAGACAGAGGTGAAAGAGAAAGGAAAAGAGAAAAGGTGGGGAGAGAGGGGGTTAGGTGGGGGGGGGATTCAACAAAAATAAACAATAATGAACAAGAGTCTGCTTCTAGACCTGCAAAATGAGACGAGAAAAAAGCAAAACATAACAAAAAAATGGGACACAACACCAATATAACAAAATCAAGCTATCACTGCATCAACTTGATGAAGAAATATATAATCAATCATTGTTTAACTATCTGTTTAACACTGTCTTGTGGAGGAGTTAAGTTTGAGTTCAACTCATTTTACCTCAGGAAGTCAGTTTTACAACCCTTTTAAAGAATCACACGTTGCAGTAATATTTCCTTCCATATCACATTTCAAAGATCTAAACTTTTAAATTTGCACTTCAGTCATTTTCACTTAGTTTAAGTAGAGCGCTTGGAATACAAGCAGTGGCGGATCTAGGATTTTTCTGACCATGGGGCTATCAAGAGGCCATGGAATTCATAGAGGGGCCAAGAATTACCCCGGCTTTCCACGGGAGCCGTCAGCAGCACGTTACTGCAGCAGCACGTCATAGCTGCTGATAGGAACCGCTGTGGTCAACAGAACCTTTTCCACTGGAGCCGTCAGCAGCCGTCAGCAGCGCGAGTCGGCCGCGTCTCAGAAGCAGCATGTCGCGGCCTTTACGCGCCGGTTCTATTTTCTACGCGCGACGCCTCTGAAACGGGTCAAGTTCGACATTTTTGGGGAAGGAAAGACAGGAAATCGGACGCGGAAAAGGAGAGAAGCTACCGAGATTTTCAGAATAAAGAACGTACTGCTTTCCGGTTGCTTTACTTTTAAAAAAGGTTACTAACTGCGCGTCCCCGTGAGAAGTTATCACCTAGCTAGCGGTCTCCGTTGTTTTTCAGGTCCGTATTGGCGATTATAAAACGGACAGAACATAAAACACAAACCATGTTGTAATTTTCTCCTGCTTGTTGTTGTGTTTACTGACGAAGTCACTCGTGTGACTTCATGCTCGGTCGGTGACAGCTGCTCTCCTGCTGCTTCGCGTCTCGTGGGAAGGGCCAAGCAGCAGCTTACGCGAGCAAGACGTGCTGCTGCAGTAACGTGCTGCTGACGGCTCCCGTGGAAACCCGGGGTGAGTCCAACATCCTTACTCACAAACCCAGCAAAGCATTTCAGAACTTTCAGCGCTGTGTTCATTTTTTAAAGCCACTAATAGTATCAGTTTATAGCATTTTGTGGGTGAAAACAGACACTAAAGTTCCCATTTGGCTCATTAGCACCTCTAGTGTTTGGAATTGGAATTGCATTTTTATTTTATTTTATTTGATCAGCATGCAAAGGGCAGATGAATGACAGGACAGGGGCACTTCAGAGCTAATCAGATTTCAGAAGGAGCCAATGACCCTTTGGCCCCACACCTAGAACCACCACCAGAACACAACCAGAACGTGAAAACACATTGAAAAGGTTTATTAGTGGTGGTGAGCTAGTAACTCACAGCTGTTGCTGCCTGCTTGGAGACACATCATTATGAGAAAATATGCAAAGATTCAGTTGAATTCAAACTGAACTGGTTCATTTAACGCTTTGGGGACTTATTTTATAAATGTCTGGTGTTTCTGTCAGGATTCTCCTTTGCCTTCTCTTTTGTTGTTTTATTACCGTTTTCATTTTGTGAATTCTGGATTTAGAATTATGTTTTAGTTTTAGAATCTCATTTTTGCCCTGAAATCAGTTTTTTTAACCATGTCTAAACGTTTTTTGTTTACTCCACCAACAAAATGTCCAAGTACAACAATGCTGCTGCTCATTCAGACGAGGTTTAAGATCTAATGCGTTTAAATTTGAGTGTTACATTAAAAGCATTTGCTTCTTTTTAGGCCGAATGTTGTTATTGAGGTTATGATGGTATTTGTACAAAGAAACATAATTTCGTCATTAAATCAAAGATTTTGGATACAAACTTTTTTTGCATTTTTATTTAAAAGCAAAGTTCACATCCTGAACAGCAACATGCGGCACTAAGGCTGGGGAAATGCGAACAAATCTGTTGTAATTTTGCAGAGAGTTGACAAAAAGGCTCAGAACCGCTCAGTGGAATGACTAATTATGAAAAATGTATTCATGTTTTCACTCGGGCATTTGCTGAGCTTTCTCGGCTCATTCACTATTCATCCACATGATTATCACTGCAACAACGCTGAAACCCTGAATGTTGATGAGTGTGTTTGTGACGGAAAAGTGTTAAAAAGTGTTTTACAAACCCCACAGAGGAAGAGCGTGAAGTGGAGAAATTGAGGGGGGGGGGGGGGGGGGGAACAGGAGGAATGACAGAGAAGAAGATAAGATCGAAGATGAGAAAGATTAAAAGACAGGACTGAGCAGGAGAGGAAGGACAAGGATGGAATGATTTAAAAAAAACTGAGCGACGCATGCAAAACATGTGAAAAATACATGAACGAAATAATAATAAATTATATGTTTTAATGAAACATCAAATAAAAAAATGAAAGAAAATGAAGAAAATCAGAAAAAAGGACTAAAATAGGTAGCCTGAAAACAATACAACTGGCATTATCAAAGAAAGAAAATGCTATGATGCATATGATGAGGAGATAAATCTGATGGAAAAAGGAGAGCAGGGGAGATAAGAGGACAGGGGGAAAAGAAAAGAGATTAAAACTAAAGATAACATATAGGAGAGGTGAGATAAAAGCATAAATGGAGATGAGACTAAACTGTAAAGGAGAAAAGACAGGAATACAGCAAAATGAAGGAAGGTAAAGAAAAGCAGGAGGAAGGAGCTGAAAATGAAAGAAGAGAGGATAAAGAGAAGCAGAGAAGCCCTCCTTTCCCCAGAGAGCAATATTCTGCTGCATGAAGCTGCTGCGACAGAGATGCTGCCCTCAAGTATTCCAGCTATTAACATTTATGAATATTGATGTGAGTGAGATGACGAGTTCCTACGCAGGCATTTTCTGAATGTGTGCTTAGCTGAATAAGGTGTGTGTGTGTGTGTGTGTGTGTGTGTGTGTGTGTGTGTGTGTTAAACTCTTTGGTTCACATCCAGGCCAGACTACACACACTCTGTGTATGAGTGTTTGTTCACACTGACTTCCTATAAGTGTAAAAAATCAGCACATATTTCTGTCTGTGAACTGTGCAACACGTGTTTATTTGCATGTGTGTGTGTGCACGTGTTTTGCTCACTTCACCTCTTTGAGAAGGAAGGAGGAGGCTGCAAAGGCGAAGGACCAGCCGTAGCGGTAGTGGAAGAACTGCTCGGGCTCTCTGGGTCGATTCATTACCTCGTCGTTAATGCTTGAAATATATAAAACCAACCCCACCACCAGACTGAGACCTGCAGGTGGAAAATACCCAGCTTGATCATTTAATCACTCTGATTACAGGAGGATCAGTACAGCTCATGATACAAAACGCAGATTTAAACGAACACATGTGTTTGGCTGACTCCTAATACACAAATTCCCCGTGTTAGGTTTTTGGCTCGTTGGAGGAAACTGGAGTATCGGGAGAAATCCCACAATTGTGGGGAGGGTAAGAACATGCAAACCTGTGCACAAAGGCTGCAGCTGAGTGTTAAACCTGCAACCTTTTTGCTTAAAGACAACAATGCAAACAACTGTGCCTATGCAGACCAATTCTCAATATACCGTACTGACCCGAATAGCAGAGCAGGTGTTTTTCAAAGAAAATAATAAAAAAAAATGTGGGGTCATCTTATAATTGGGGTCTAAGCATTACACGCCCATAACAGCAGAGGGCGCCAGGTTGTGTGTTCTCAAAACCGTGTCAGAAGACGAGAGGTCCGGAGCAGAGTGGACCGAAAGTGGGGCCAGTTAACATACTAAGGCAGAGTTATGTGAATTTTAAGATGACGGTGGTCAATTCAGCAGAGGCGTCAAACATTACAAGCATGGATGCATTTGATGGCAGTAAGGATGATGTTCAATGGAAGGAGCAGGCAGGTGTAGCGATCTGATGGTACACCCCGCAGCATCGTGAGTGAGAATGATAGTGAGTGAGTACAGCAAGGCAGAGGGCGTCTGAATAAAAGCCTCATTTGACTTTTGATTTCACATGTCAGCAAAGTTCTGTTAGCTGGCATTAAAATAATATTTGTACTCAGTATTTGTTCTCAAATTTTCAATACAAATAGTTTATTTCAAAAGTGATTTTGTTTATTTTTCTTTGTCCTTTCCTGAAGATTAGTCTTCGGGGTCGTCCTATAATTGTTTATTTTCCATCCTTTGCCATCCTTCAACTGTTTTCCGTGTTTCAGCAAATTTTGTGCTATGTTGATGATTTATCTCCACAAATTACAAAGGCCTGTAGGATTTCTGCCATGTCACTAATGCTAACAGTACTAGTTAGCATTAGCATAATATGAGGTGAAGATGGAACAGGAGTTAAGTGTTCGCCCTGTAATCGGAAGGTTGCAGGTTCGAGCACTGCTCAGTTTGTCACTGTCACTGTGTCCTTGGGCGAGACACTTAACCCACCTTGCCTGCTGGTGGTGGTCAAAGGACCGGTGACACCAGTGCTCAGCAGCCTCGCCTCTGTCCGTGGCAGGGGCAGCTGTGGCAACATCGTAGCTCATCACCACCAGAGTGTGAGTGGGTGAATGACTGATTGTGTTGTAAAGCACCTTGGGGGTTCCAGGACTCGAGAAGGTGCTATATCAAATACAGGCCATTTACTTCTACTAGTCAAGATATGCTCTGCTCTCTTTTGACACTAACTTAACGACAGCCTTCCTCGTCACGAGCCAAGATGGATGAGACTATGAATGCTGATTTTCAATATGACATGGAATTGACTGGCTTTTCTAATTTGAGCATTTCCATATTTTCTATCAGTGGCTAAAAAGTAAATAGGGTTAGAAGATTATTTTCACATTTAGCCTGTATGTGAAACTCAGAATGACTGATCATATTTAAAAAAGAAACAAAAAAAAAAACCCCGTAAAAACTGTTTCCCAGTGAATTTAATCTTTACAATATTCAACTTTTTTGGTAAAGTGCATCAAAGGTATTGAACACTGGTAATCAGTTACCAACCTAACTTTAAAGATATACATGGAAAACATGTAAACTAATTTAAAGTACATGTATAGTCATTGAAGTCCTCCAAAAACAGTAAAGGAAAGGAACACTGGCAGACATAGTAGCAAGTGGGTAGATGTTAGAAACAATGCACACAAAGTGTTTTTACTGCTTTAAACAACTAAGCCATTGTCACGTTGCGGGTTAGGAGGAGGTTAGGACCCAAGATGCAGATAAAACCAGATGACACGAGGCAGGAGCAGTTTAAAAGTAAAATCCTTTTTATTAGGACGAGGAACCAAAAAATCCAAAAAAGGGCAGGAAGCAAAAAACCAAAGTCCTGAACACCAGGAGAACAAAAGCTCACATAGAGCACAAACCACAAGACGAGGCACAAAAGCTTGCATAGAGCACAAACCAAGAGACAAGGCACAAAAGCTCACATAGAGCACAAAACAACACTGACACAAAACAATGGACCGACAAGACACTGTAACACAGACAGGGCTTTATACACTGGGGCATGATGGGAGGCAGATGGGCTGCAGGTGTGTGGGGAGAGAACCAGGTGAAAGCAATTAACTAATCAGGGAGGAAACTAACATGACCTAAGAGTAAAACCTAAAGACAAGAAAAGCAGCAACATAACTAATATTCTAAGGGGAAGGAAAACTACAAATACCGGTGGGAAAAAACACACTAAAGAGACTAATAAAATGAAAAGCTGAAACTATAAAAACTGCAGAGGGGTGACTGGGGAAGACTAAAGGAACACAGGACCTGGGAGAGATGATCTGGAGGGCTGTAGATCTGGGAACACATGAGGAAGACGTAGACAATGACACAAGAGGGCGCTAGGATATACAACAGGAGAACCTAGAGACGAATGGAGAACACAAGGAGACACATGAGGGGAGACGCAGACCATGACAGCCATTGACCAAACTGCTGTATTCTGAGCCCATGGCTATGTCTGAAAAACCTGTATGGAACCCTTTAAGCTAACAAAGCTTATAATGAGATTAAACAAATCCTTGTGGGAAGCACAGCTCTGGACTTCCCTAATTACAAAAAAGAATTGATTCAAAGTGTGGATTGTAAAAATGGTCATATGTCATTGATGTTGCTACAAATGTATAGAGATAAATGGCTACCAATTGCTTATTACTCTATTAAACTCGATCCTGTCACTAGAGCATTACCACAATGCGTTCAGGAAGTTATAGCCGCATTGCTTCCTGAACTGGAAGCTACACGGCTATAACTTCTTCTGCTTCGATTGTTTCGATCTCCCCCTTGTGGACTACTTACTGGCGCTTCTTTGGGACTTGGAGCGACCAAGACTATTGTGAAAGGCTACTGTTTCACTGTTGGCTGTTGCACAGATGTGTGCAAATACTCCATTTGTTGGCGCCACACGCGGTTTTGGTTTTACCTCCGCAAAACAATATATAATTTATGATACCCATCTGCATGGCAGTGTCACTTTTAAAACATCCTCACCTTCAGAAAGAACGATGTGCAATGTTGAACCAATACTTTTACAGGTAAACATGCAAAAACAGTAGGATATTATTTAATATCCTACTGTTTCTGTATATTTACCTGTATTATTTTTTCCCATTCTTTAAGTGGATGTGCTGCCTTAACATGTGAATTTCCCCACTGTGGGATCAATAAAATCTATTTAATTCTATTCTATTCTATTCTATTCTATTCTATTCTATTCTATTCTATTCTACAGCAGCTTGTTAGCCTGCACTGCAGATTTTATTTGAATGAGGTGTGTGTGTGTGTGTGTGTGTGTGTGTGTGTGTGTGTGTGTGTGTGTGTGTGTGTGTGTGTGTGTGTGTGTGTGTGTGTGTGTGTGTGTGTGTGTGCGTGTGTGTGTGTGTGTGTGTGTGTGTGTATGTGTGTGTGTGTGTGGTAGTACACTGTAGCTAGAATCGCTAATGATAACATGTCTTGGCTGTGCTGCAGGCTGAGAAAAACCCTGACAACAAGAAGCGGTGGCAACAAGATAAAAGGACAACAAAGTCACACACATTCACTAATATACACATCTGCTGCTGGTCAAAGGTAACTCACAAAACACATAAATGTTTATGCTAAAAGGAGCCTGAACACTGACGCTGATGCGCCATTATGGATGTGTCATCCATAAGTGAGCTGCTGCAGCAGAGCTGCAAAATTTTTCTGCAGTCAGACTGTGAAACAGAGAGAGATGCTTGAAAACAATATAAAACAGTACTTTCCACTTCATTTTCTATTAAATCTAGATTATTCAATTCAAATCAATTCAATTTTATTTATATAGCGCCAAATCACGACGAGTCGTCTCAAGGCACTTCACATAATAAACATTCCAATTCAGGTCAGTTCATTAAGCCAATCAGAAAAATGTTTCCTATATAAGGAACCCAGCAAATTGCATCAAGTCACTGACTAGTGTCAGTGACTTTACAGCAATCCTCAAGCAACCATATAGCGACAGTGGAGAGGAAAACTCCCTTTTAACAGGAAGAAACCTCCAGAGAATCCTGGCTCAGTATAAGCAGCCATCCTCCACGACTCACTGGGGATCGAGAAGACAGAGCAGACACACACACACACACACACACACACACACACACACACACACACACACACACACACACACACACACACACACACACACACACACACACACACACACACACACACACACACACACACACACACACACACACACACACACACACACACACACACACCAAGCAATGTGTCCATGGTTACACCGTGATTGCTTAGTAAATATTCTATTTGGTGAGATAAACTTTATTGTATTTATCCCAGTGGCTCTATAATTAAATGGGTAAACTAGTAGTAGCACATCCAACGTCAAGGAAACAAAAAGTTATTATCAGGAGAGGGAGAACGTTTAAGTGGTTAGCAGCAGTGTGCTAGTCGATGGCCCCCTCCATGAGGCCACCACAGATCAGCAGAACATCGTTGTAGCTTCTTCTGGGGAGAAAAACACTTAGAGAGAAAATAAAGTTAATAGCTGAAGTAGCAGGAAATAATACAAATAATGAGCAGATTGTGGAAGAAAGTAGTAGAGTGTGAAACATGGTCAGTGTATCCTCCAGCAGTCTAAGCCTATAGCAGCTTAACTACAGAGATAACTCAGGATAATCTATCCTTTTAGATGGGGGCATGTTGGAGTCAGGGCAAGGGAGAGCCGTCTTTACCGACTGTACACTCCACCTCCCTCTACTCCCCCACTTGTCCAGATTTAGGCTAACATCCGATTTTA